TTTATGGCCTCCCAAATGCGCCTACAAATCGTAGAGTAGGCTCGTTTTCGTCGTGACACCTGTCGAACAAAATCATCTCCTTCCACTACAAGGCATGTATGTAGTGTTCTTGGCCGAAGCAGTTGCAACTAACACCGTGGCTTTGTGGTATGACGCCTGCTTGCTATGTGAACGGCCCGGGTTGGATACTCAATGGGACCGAAAACTTTATTGTTTATTTTATGTGCTTCTTTCTCAATTTTTCGCTCGAGGACGACGTTTCGCTCACAACCAACGGTGCCGACGCCAACGGTGGAATTTTGCGAAACGAGCTCTCTAACGTTATCGCGGTAAAACGCAGACGTATACGTCCTCCGCTATTGGTACATATTGGGACACTTGCATACTAGCAACACCACCAGTGGCCGTTTCGATTTGTGTTGGCGATGTGCGCCAGCACTGCCTCTACCCGTCGCGATAAAGTCTCCGGGAGCGGCTGAGACGTGCTTTGAGTGCCAAGTCGGCGCTCTCCGCTACGTGAAAACTCCAGCGCTCGGTCCCTATACTCGGTGATAACTCATGTTGGCATTGGAGTGAAGGATATATGGAGGTGGGGCTTCCACACACTGTATTTGTTTCGCCAGCTTCTTGAACGTATTATTGCTAGCAGAGTGACTTGTTGGCGAGTTGGCGAGTTGGCTCATCTTCAACGTAGCTTTTGGCGCGAGATAAATACTAAAGACAGACAAGCGCAAGAGACTACGCTTGTGCATTGCTCATGTTTTTTTGCGCCAAAAGCTACGGTGAACTCTCCGGTGAACTCTTTCTGTATTTATGCTCTTGTGACTCTCACACCAGCATTCCAAGCGTGTTATATTTTTTCCTTACTTGATTTATTATTCAACTTTTCATGTCTTTTGTAAATACATTTTTTTTGTGTGATTGCATAAACGGCCTCGTTACTGCCCGATGACGATTGGGTCATCGCAGGTTTTTGTACAGAAACACGAGCGTCTCGTCTAGAACTTTGTCTCTCGATACAGCTCGTTACAAGTGGAAAGTCGTCAGTAATCTGTACGGAAGTGACCGCTTCCCCGTAGTTTTGAGCACAACTACAGCAACTGAGTGTCCACCCAGTGTTCCAAAATGGCTTACGCACAGAGCCGATTGGGAACAGTTTTATACATCGTATGTATAGATTGGAATGACATATGTACTTTAAGCATTGATGTTGCTGTCGACTACTTCACAGCTTTTTTGATTGATGCTGCAACAAAATGCATCCCACAAACAAATGGACACCCTGGAAAACGGCGTGTGCCATGGTGGAACTCTGAATACCGAAACGCGCGCAAACAGCAAAACAGAGCTTGGAGGCTGCTTCGGAACTCACCGACAGCCGAAAATCTTGACACCTTGAAGAAAATAAGTCGCAAGCTAGGAGAACACGTCGGCAGGCTAGAAGAGAAAGCTGGCAGAAGTTTTTGTCAGGGATCAATTCATACACACAGGAGGCTAAAGTCTGGAACATGGTCGGTAGGATAGCAGGGAAACAAGTACACACACTTCCACTCGTAAACACTCAAGGTGATACCTTGGAAGATCAGGCAAACTTCCTTGGGGCACATTTTGAACGGGTATCCGGCTCGTCCCACTATACTGACACTTTCCAGAAATACAGAACAAGAATAGAAAAGCAGAAACTCGAACACAAATCCACTAGGTACGAGGCATATAACCAAGCTTTCAGTCTAGCTGAGCTCCGAACATCTCTAAACTCCTGCAGTACTTCTGCCCCAGGTTCTGACTGTGTGGTGTATGAAATGTTAAAAAACCTACCAGCCGAAACACGAAAAACCTTGCTTTGTTGGTACAATGCTATCTGGTTTTCTGGCACTATCCCTACCTCCTGGAAAGAGGCTATTATCATTCCCATTTTTAAAGAGTGCAAGGACCCTTCTTTAGCTTCAAGTTATAGGCCTATTGCACTTACAAGCTGCTTGTGCAAAGTATTCGAAAAAATGATAAACTGCCGACTTGTACATATCCTTGAAACAAACAATTTGCTCGACCCGTTTCAGTGTGGGTTTCGAGAAAGTAGATCCACCACAGACCACCTTGTTCGTATCGAGGCACAGATCAGAGACGCCTTCGTCCATAAACAATATTTTCTCTCTGTGTTCCTCGATATCGAAAAGGCTTATGATACAACATGGCGTTTTGGAATTCTAAGAGACCTGTCCCACCTTGGTGTGCGCGGAAGAATGTTTCATATAATCGAAAGTTACCTGTCAAACCGGACATTCCGTGTCCGTCTGGGCAGTGTGCTCTCCCACACATTTGTCCAAAAAACAGGCGTGCCGCAAGGTAGTGTGCTTAGTTGCACACATTTTATTATCAAAATGAATTCTTTGCACTTGTCCATTCCCCGCAATATGTTCTATTGTACATATGTCGACGACGTTCAGCTTGGCTTAAAGTCATGCAACTTGGCCATGTGTGAGCGGCAGGTTCAGCTGGGTTTAAATAAGGTCTTCAAATGGGCAGATGAAAACGGATTTCGACTTAACCCACAAAAAAGCACGTGTGTCTTGTTCTCTCGAAAGAGAGGCATGCACTCGGAACCTGACATTAGACTGAACGGGCAACGTCTGTCCGTCAAAGCCGAGCATAAATTCTTAGGCTTAGTCTTGGACAACAAGTTGACCTTCGTACCGCACATCAAGTATTTAAAAACAAAATGTTAAAAGCCATGAATGTTATAAAAGTGTTGTCACGTACTACTTTACTACTTGGGGTAGTGATAGGCAATGCCTCATGAATCTGTATCGAAGCCTCATTCGCACCCGCTTAGATTATGGGGCCATTGTTTATCAGTCTGCAAGTCAAAGTGCTTTGAAGATGCTGGACCTCGTGCACCATTTGGGCATTCGCCTTTCTACGGGTGCTTTTCGCACCAGCCCTGTAGAAAGCCTTTACGTTGAGTCAAATTAATGGTCGCTTCATCTACAGAGAACTTACATGTCCTTTGTATATTTTCTTAAGGGGAAAGCAGATAAGAAGCACCCCTCGTACTCTACCATTAATGATCTGGCGAGCTCAATTCTGTTTCAAAACAGGCCTTCGATGAGGCAGCCCTTCTCAGTTCGCCTGAAGTGTCTAGCTGAAGAAACTGAAGTGTCACTTGAACACAGTTTAATGGCTCCTGTAGCATACCCGCCACCGTGGCAGTGGCAGACTATAGACTGCGATGTGTCTTTCCTAGAAGTTACAAAACATGCACCCTTTGCCCATATCCGAACATACTTTCTGGAACTTCAACACAAATACACACGTCCTGAGTTCTTCACAGATGCCTCCAAGACTAACTCCTCTGTGTCCTACGCTGCTGTCGGCCCATCCTTTTCGGATGCTGGCCCTCTACATCAAGGCACAAGTATCTTCACAGCGGAAGCTTACGCGATTCTTGTGGCAGCTAAACACATCAAACAATTACAAATAAAAAAAAGCAGTAATTTATACAGACTCCCTCAGTGTGGTAACGGCTCTGCACAGTCTTAAAAAACAAAAAAACCCGGTCCTTGTCTCACTTTATTTCATTTTGTGCACACTCTACACACTCAAACAACATGTTGTAGTGTGCTGGGTGCCAGGGCATCGTGAGATCCAAGACAACGTGAGGGCGGATCAGCTCGCTGCATCCGTCCATGAAAGCACTGCCCCTACACCCATAATAATCCCGGCCCTTGATCTTAAGACGTCTCTCAAACGAAACCTCAGGGACTACTGGCAGAGCAAGTGGGATACACACACACAAAACAAACTACACGTTATCAAGCCACACCTTGGCCATTGGCCACCAGTATCAAAATCACGTCTAACAGAGGTAACACTAAGAAGACTCAGGATAGGACACACATACACGACACACACACATCTTTTGTCCGGTGGTGATCCACCATTGTGTGATAAATGTGGTGAGGCATTAACAGTTCTTCACGTTTTAATTCAATGTAAACAGTTAGACACTCTAAGAAGACAACATTTTTCATTACCCTACCGAAAACATATACCTTTACACCCTGCAATGTTCGTTGGTAGGGAACCGCTTTTTAGTCATAAATCATTGTTAGCGTTTTTAAAAGAAATTCATGATTTTCATATGATATACCCGGGCATTCCGTAGCACAACCTCTCCAGAGTGGTTTTTGCTGCGGTGGCTACACAGGAAAGCACTTGCCTGACGGCCCTTGGACGCAAGGGTATGAACGAGTGAGGTACTTGTGCTAATGCCATACATGTCAACCATCGTTTTTCATTATCACCAACTTTTGTCACATATTCACACCACCCACACCTTTCACGGCATGGTCATGATTTTATTACTTGTATGTTTTTACCCGCTTTACTGCGAGGAATTTTATGGCCCTTACACAGCCGCTAATCACAATCATTGTCCACATTCCTGTCTCATGAACTGGCGCTCTTTGGCCATCAAATGGCCCTTGCGCCAAAAAACACCATATATCATCATCATTCTTAAAGCAGTCCTCGGCGTTGAACTGTGCTTCTATGGAACGTTCCTTCTGAACTCTGATAAATCAGTCATAGAGAAAATTTTATTTTGACATGGACAGGGCTTTAGGCTTTCGCACTATTGTGCGGGGGCGCATGTGCGTATGAATAAATATATATATCGATTTAAAAAATTCGGGGAGGCTGTGTACTACACTACTACTTCTTTTCACTTCTGTGCCTTGTAGGCCGGTGTGCTCAGACTTTGGCGCACGTGAAAGGATTCCAGGAGGTCCAAATTCCTGGAGCCCTCCACTATGGCATCTCTCACAATGGTATGGTGGTTTTGGGACGTTAAATCCAACATATCGTCATCATCATCACCCTTGTGCCTAAGTCGCGGTATTTCATGTTACATGCCTTGAATAACTGAAAGGAAGGCAATAATATTTCTAATTATGTATGGAGCGTTTGTGAAGGCGAATGAATGGTACATTTATGTGGAATACTGTATGTAAATGGAAGGTATTTATTCCCGATATAGATGGAAAATTTGTCGAGAGATTTCTTTTCTTCAGAATAGCTAGCCTTTGACTTTTTGTTGGCTGATACCGGAGCCTCCGCTTATCGTTACGGAAAGGCCGGCAGATCCAGCCGCACCGATGCTTGGTCCTGAGGGACCTCCAGAACTCAGGCCTGAAAGTGAACCGCCCGGCCCAACACCTCCGTTTGAGGGCCCTCCTTGAAGGATGGTGGCTCCCGGTCCTCCAGGACCCCCAGGTCCTACTACTCCTGGTCCTCCTGGTCCTCCTGGTCCAGCACCAGGTCCTGAAGGCATTCCACTTGGTCTCGTGGGTCCACCAATAAATATACCTTCCGCTACACCCGCAAAGAGCTCAGGTGGCAAGCGCGGCTTGGGCCTGAGCTCAGCTTGGCGATTCAGATAGGCGAGAACGGTCTTGATCTGGGTGTCAATGGCCTTGCGCACCAAGGGTTCGAGGCGTCTCTTGACCGATCGCTCAAGGAAGACCTGCGCAGCGCGCAGGAAGGCGTGGAATAGTGGCCTTCTTGAGGGCTGATCTGGCCTCAAGAATAGTTTGAAGCCTTGCAGAAAGAGAATCTTGAAGTTTGTCACGTGAATCTCTTGAGCTCCCGTCCTGCAAATAGAAGCAACGCAGTTAAAATGTATGTAGTATGTAGTGAATGCCGAGTGTTAGGGCCTAATTGAAGCTTGTACGTAGTTGACGAAATACGCTAACCATTACCACAAAACATTTTCAGATGTACGGGGAGCCCTTTGGTGCTAGTATCATCTTACAACTAATAAACGTTCAGTACTTTTACGGGGCCTGAATCGAAAAAAAGAGGTAGTAAACGTGGTGATCTAATAATAGGTGATGCATTTTTTGTATAATAGATCTCATGAGAGTCAGCCTGTTATTGAGCGAAGAGCAATCACTGAAAAACGTTTTAGATTACCATTAAATATATGTCAACTCAACACAAATGTAGCTCTTGTTGAAATAGTAACAAAATTGCTTCAGTTTAGGCTTTCGGGAGATGTAACCATGATCTTACTAAACATTGCAAGTTACCAGTTTTTGTTGGAGCTTTGAAGGAGCCCTGTTACGCCACAAAAGAACCTTTAGGGGCGAAGCTCCTGATGCCGTGGGTCTGGGTCGTATGTATGTATGTATGTATGTATGTATGTATGTATGTATGTATGTATGTATGTATGTATGTATGTATGTATGTATGTATGTATGTATGTATGTATGTATGTATGTATGTATGTATGTATGTATGTATGTATGTATGTATGTATGTATGTAATGTATGTATGTATGTATGTATGTATGTATGTATGTATGTATGTATGTATGTATGTATGTATGTATGTATGTATGTATGTATGTATGTATGTATGTATGTATGTATGTATGTATGTATGTATGTAGTAGTAGTAGTAGTAGTAGTAGTAGTAGTAGTAGTAGTAGTAGTAGTACTTGGTAGCCACCTTTTGTTTATTCATTGGAATGTCCGCTAAATGGCAGTAGTTGTACATGATGAATATTTGATAAAAATATGCGAGATAGTGCTACTTGGAGTGTTTACTAGATGGACGGGCTGACAGACAGACAGATAGACGGAGAGACAGAGGACGGCCGGGTGGACAGACAGATGTATGGACGTACGGATGAAAGCACGGACGGACGACACACTGGCGGACGGACAGACAGACAGACGTACGGACGGACGGTCTGAATGACGGACGCACGGACGGACAGACAGACAGTCGGACAGACGCACGGAGGGACGGATGGACAAACAGACAGACACTGCAGACGCGTGGACGAACAGATGGGCGGACGCATGGATGGACGGACGCATGGACGGATGGAAGCAAGATCGAACGAACGGACTGAAGCACGGACGGACTGGCAGATGCTTCGCCCCACTCATCAGTCACATTGTGGATATGCTGTGATTTTCTTATATTTTTGGATTGCGTTTATAGAAAGACATTGCTGATTTGCGTAGAATGCGTGCGGGGAATAGTTTGAGCATTGGTATAGCACCACCATCAACAGATTGGGTATTTTAATCACGCAACGAAATCACTATATTCCTGCCGACCGCGTCAATTTACAGTAGCCCTCGCCATAACTTCTGCGTGCAGAAATGACGGAGAAAAGCGCGTGTTTGATTGAATAAATGTAGCTTGAGAAGTGATAGAGAGAATTCTTGTGAAAGTAGGTAATTCTTGCGTTTCATTTTGAGAGTTTTTGAAATGAACGCAAAATAGACACCATTACGGGAAGAACATACTACCACTGCAAGACATCGTTGAAGCGCTGCCTGTGATGTAGCGTCTTTACTTTTGCTCGCTCGGTTCGATCGTACATACGAGAGGCGTTTTCCATTTGTTTTTCTTGATAGTGTGCGCTCGCGAGTGGCGTCGTTTCGCACATTCGGTATCCCTCTTCGAATTCGAAGACGCTTTGTTTGTTGTGCTTTTAAATGCGAAGCATTTATTTGCGTACTGCCGCTTGTTTTCACCTCTATCGGTGTATCCGTCTATCAATGTAACCGCTTACGTCTGGGGCCTCTCGGGATGGAGCCCTTAACTGGCGTGAACAAAAATTTGCATGGGAGCGTAAGCTTGATTGTCGGATATGACGCACTGGTCAAGACAGGAATAATGTCACAATCCCGGTGCGTGCGTCGTCAAACACTTCTCGCCAAACAATGACATATACCCGCGGTCGGGTATGCGCCACTGGTGGGCGGGTATGGGTCACATGTGATTGACCCTTTGTAGCTACCCAGGAACGACGAGAACGTACATTGGCAGTTTTAGCACGTGAGCGTTTAGAAAAACCTGGCAATGGCTGCGTTGTCTGGACGAATGCAAAAAATAAATGCAGGGTCCCAGCAGGACTCGAACCCAATCATTCTGCGTGACAATCAAGTATTCACTCAAGGAGCCACGCCAGGTCTCGGAAAATACATATCAAATAAAACCTAATGTCCGTCAAACGTCAATTGTGGTTGCAGTGCTGGCTATACAATTTTATAAACATTACATATGTACTCCTATAATACAGCCACCACGTTGGCCTAACGTCGATTGTAGTTAGGTGTCATACAGTGAAGTTGATTTGTCCAGCAGTGTCCAGGGCTACCATCCTCGCGAGCTCGAGCGGCTCATATAAGAGCGTATCACTTTTGGTGTTGTTGATACTTATGTTCTTGTTGGCATCTTTACGCAAGTGCAAAGAACTCGTCATAGAAACATCCGCAACTTTTCAGCATAACTATGTCTGTGCGTGCGACATTTATACATATATTCACGATCATTTATTCACGCATCGCTCAATAGAAAAAATTACTACACAGTCACCTTCTTTCCGCATGCTTTGGCATAACGTCGATTTCCAATGTACTTGGGATCCACCAATATTTTCGTGATAACGCAAAGATACCGTGCCGTAAAAATGAAAAAAAATGTAGAAGTGTCGTCGGCTCTTCATGCTTGTGGCCACTGAGAGTGGAAAAGTGCGCACCCGACGTTTGTGCTTACGAGAGGTTTTTCTTTTTGAATGTTTTTCCTCCTAAGCAGCATGTTGTGCGCTCCAGGGGGTTGCGGTAATATGAGGGTTCAAATGTTTCACCTTGACGCGTTGTTACTGGTCTCGCCCCTAGTCTTGAAGTGGGGTGGCTGCGGCGCTACGTGGTGTGCTTCTAGGCTAATGCTGTGGTCGCTGTGCCGCATGAAACAGGCAACAATAATGGACAGGGTTCCTCTGCGTAGGCCCTTTTACTTCATTCAATTGGTGGCACCCTGCACTGTCAGTGGTGAATGCAATGTGGGTATGTGACCTCGCGAAAAAAGTAAAAAGTGTGACTGTAAGCTTTTTCTCAGTTTTGTTTTTAATAAAAAAATGGGCGCTATAACTTGAGACTTTGCGGCCTCACCACTGACGTTCTTGCGGTATTAATAATTTATTCTTTAGTTTATGCGATCCGCAAGTACAATAAGAGGGCTTTGATATGCGTTAGAGGGCCCATCTTAACAAAGAAGCACTGGCGATGAACAAAATATTACTGGCAATAAAAAGGCAGCCTTAGGGGCGTCGCGGCAGCATGTAATAGTGGGGTGTTTTAGAATAGCGCGCCGCAAGCCCTTGTGGTATGGTCGTTGCTACTGCGCATGCGTCGTAAGGCGAGCCGCCGTTCGCGTTCATGGCCCGCCCGCAGAAAATTCGAAATAGCGGGCGACGTGTGTGGTCCGCATGCGGCCCGCGATGTGCATTTGGATTGGCGGTCGCAAAGAAAGTCCTTGAAATTTTCCCCAGGGGAAGGAAACGCTATTCTAAATCTCATATGGCAGCCGCAACTAAAGCAACGCCCTCAACACATGCTAACGTTATTTTAAAACACCCTAGTGTTTACTACGATGTTCGTAACTGTGTCGTTTTGACGGCAGCTGCGTTGAAATTGCATTACACGTCGTGACAGCGGAAAAATTACAGAAGGAATGGTATTTCACTTCTTCGATTGCTGTGGCAGGCAACTTCTTGGTTCTGTGGCAAATTAGTACTATAGGGTTAACAGGGTACAAACGAAGAAAGAAGCTAAGTATTCATCACATGCGTGAAGCCAGCTTTCGCGTATGCTAACTTTCACAGCGAAAGCTGTTATGAGATCACAACTCGGGATCCGCGCAGCGTCGTAGTTGTGCGCCGCCGCCGGTGTCCGTAACCACATCGTGCGAAATCAGAAAAAAAAACTAGTACCAATGATACAGTGGGTCTTGAATGCGGGTCCGCTGGGTGCCAGCCCAGTCTTTCCTACCACTTAGCCACGCCGGTGCTTCAGACTTGTTGGCACACTTGCCTTGGACAGGCTTAATGTCGGGAAAGCAATCGCGTTAATACGATTTATAAAGCATTTTAAAACAGCGAAAGAACAAGCAGTCATCGTACGATGTGAATAGCGTAACGAGTGTATAGTCAAATGCTCCGACCCATTACAAAAGCTTGTTTTTGTTCAGCTAAACAGTGGCGCATACCCACTTCAGGCGTCATTCCTCATCATCGTCAGCCGCTTCATAAACAATGGGCTTAAAACTCATTGCAATAGTTTAGCGTATACCATGCTTCTCAGAAGAATGACGAAAAATAGCATAGCGAACGGCGGCCTTCTACACCATAAAATATTTATTAATAAGGCCGTAGTGGGCATCAAGCAACTGTGATTGCAGCAGTTACCAAATGAGTGTTTAGAAAGGCTCTAGAAGGCCGCTCTTCTAGGTTTCGCTGTAACCGTGCTGCGCGATCCGCGCACACCTGGCGTTTTTTTTACATATCTAAGTTTCTTTTTCTGACCTGTTTGAAATATGACACCATATGTTGCACATTTATAGGTAGACATATTGTGTTCTCACTCATGTACAAGAATATTGCTACTGAGAAAAAAGCCTTTATACTTGGAAAGAAACTTCTGGTAGCCTCCGCAGCTTTTCGTGTTCTATGAAATTATTCACCTTTCCTCTCTGACACATCGTTCTCGCTAATGGGAATTTCGCAGTGGTAGTACAATGAGCACGTCGCAATCACTCACTGCTCTCTGTGCACTTATTAAGCACTCTATCCACTTGGTTACTTGAAACAGGTGTTGGCTATATTTTTACAAAGCCGTTGTTTGGGGTATTCGGATGTGAATACTGGCCTTTTGTTGTGCATTTTGAACGCTGTCCTGAAGGCACTTAGCCCAAAGTCAGTATTTTATACACTTCAAAGGCCCTTGTTTTACTGATAGGAAAACAAAGATATATTTTTTTTAAATAGATGCAAGCATTTCCCATTTGAAGACGAAAGATTGCTGCGGGAACGTCTACTTACTGTGCTATTTCGAGGATGGCCCGGGCTTTCCTGACAATGACAGTGAAATGCACGCGCTGTTTTCTTATGTTCTTGTTTGCCATCTGAACAGTGGCTGATGAGTTGGCGTACACGTCCTTGATTCCCAGGTCGAGACCCAGACGCATTCCGCTCTGGTCAGCCGTCACAAAGCAAGGGCCAGTGCGCCTCACGTGAGATAAACCGAAAACTCTCGAGTTGTAGGTGTGTACGGTGCCTGACATGCGCAGGATACTGTTAAATGGCATCGTTGTTTCGGGAAGGGTGAGTGGATCCGCCCCGTAGGCCAAAAAGATCTGGCGGACGAGCAGGGTGAAGAGATCAAGCTGTCCATGTTCGGGACCAAATCCAATGAGGTCTCCACCGCCTTCTTGTTCGCCTTGCTCATCAGGCTCGCCGAACATAATCCCTGGCGATCCATTACCTCCTGGGCCCCCGGGGCCTCCGAGGCCAACTGGACCTTCTGGGCCGATTCCAACGCCTCCAGGTCCACCACTAGGGCCACTTGGTACCATTCCACCTGACCCAGCTCCTCCTCCCATACTGCCGCTGGGGCCACCTGACCCCATTCCTGGAATTCCTCCCGGTCCATTTCCGGGTCCTGAGACATCACCTAGTGAACCTCCTCCCGGGCCTCCTCCAGTAGACACACCAACAACACCGCCTTTCTGCTGACCTGTTCCAAAAATTAGCAAAGCGAGAACCACTTTCATTAGGTCACATAATGACCGCTGGAGAAATCGGAGTGCATGCTGTTTGTTGAATCTGTCGAAAACGATGGAATGTCGCTTTGCGAAAACAAATGATACAGAAAGAGAGGCTGAAAATTTAACCAATTTAGGCTAAACATTTTGCTGCCATGCGCTCACATTTGGGTGCACGTTAAAGAACGCCAGGTGGTCAAAATTTTCGGAGCCCTCCACTACGGCGTCTCTCATAATCATATGAAGACGTGAAACTCCACATATAATTCAATCAGTTTGCTGCCATAGACATGGGAACAAGATGAGAGAGAATAAAAGGTGGAGACGATCGAAAGAGGGAGAAAGACAGCACATAGCGCAGCACACATAGTCACAGCGTGTCACGCATGCGTCGTACGCAAAATCACTCTCATAGCTGCTTGTCCAAGTCGGTTTGCTCGAAAAGCCCACGTGTCGTCGCCTTCACCGGCGCTGTCTTTAATCAATGACATGCAAACGCAATTTCACTGACCTGTTTCGAAGATGCGAATATGGCGTATACGTGTACAATCCTTCGTACATAGATTTTTATTTATTTCTGCCTTTCAGAGGCGGAAGTAAACAAAAACGCCGCATAATAGGTTATACTTAGGCCAGTGCGTAAGGGTGTAGCGAACTTGGAAATGCTAGAAAAAAGCTACAGCCATTCGTAGAGCAAAATAGTAAGAGGTTTATTGAAGTGAGTAGTATCTCTACTGTAATTTTTAATAGGAGCTTCGGCTGAATGGACATGTTCAATATTTTTATTTTTAAAATACGTTTGCATTAACAATTTTTTTCTGATTCAGGTTCTGCTGATGTATTCCGCGACAGGCAAGATATACAGATGGCTTAATATCATAGTATCATTCCTATTAATTTTTTTCTTTGTTTAGAGAGGAAGGGGGAAGAATTAAACCGTTGAAGACAGGTGATGCAAAAGAATAGCTTCTGCTCTAGGTTAGGTATTTATATTTCTAACAGCTTCAAAATATCCAGACAAAAAGCAATTTAGGTTCTCATACTCCAGAACACTGCGCCATGTTATTTCTCGCTCCCTAAGCTGTATCGTACCTTCATCAGCAACGTGCTGCCACATAAGATATCAGTGTAACTATAATAAAGCGTACAAGAAGAAAAGTTGCGAACGCTGCTTTTTTTTGAAGGTTATGATAAAAAGAGCAGCGTAAGATTTTTGTTAAATGTGTGGTTTAAGGTTCCAAAACCACAATATGATTATGGGAGGCATCACAGTGGAGGGCTCGGGAACTTCTGACCACTTCAGGTTTTTTAACGTGGGCCCAAATCAGAGCAGACGGGCCTACAACATTTTCGCAAAATGCATCCACTGAGCCGGGAGTCAATTCGGCGACTGGCTGGTCAGCAGCCGATTACCTTACCCTCTAGACCGCTGCGGCAGGACAGCAGTGTATACATAGGACTGGCCCTCGGGTGTGGTTTATTCACACGTAACACTTACATTCTTACAACACGTAGGCCCGTGTTCACAAACCAACCTCATCCTTACCTCGAGTTTTCCTCGTTGCTTTTAGTCCTTTAATACGCTTGATGTACAAAGCAGGGCAGTATTCATGACCCAACTGTTGTCACCATCTTTTACCGTATGAATATTTTTGTGCCCTTATAACGCAACTTGAGAGTACAAAAAGTAGAAAAAAGCTTTAGGTAAGGTCAAGGTTGGTTGGTGAATACGGGCCGTAGACTAAAGCAGTTCAAGTGGTTTTCTGCCTTTTGTATGCCATAAGCGCTGGAGATCTATGACTTGGCGTCCCTGCAAGAAGATTGAACACTAACTAGGCCGCCGTCTTATAATTTTGCAGTGGTTCCAGTTATGCTGAGTTGGCCAATTTTCAACACAGATTGGCCCAATGCTATACTTGGAGCGCTACGAACAACGGACTGCGTTACGAGTTTGTCAATACAAGACTACAGTGCCTCCCTAAGAAGCTTAGCCACTTCAATCGTCAATTATGACGCAAATACTTCGTGTAAAACATAGTACATAGAAAAGGGGCGCGTCTTCGCACTTCATCTATGTCACTTTCGCGTCTTTTATTTTTAGCATGACCTTCAGCAAGCTTGAGATTAAATTCTTCGCTCGTGCAGCTTAATAAAAAACTTTGATGTCCATGTCTGTGCTTACCATAGGCGCTGGCCACGCAAACCAGCAAGAATATTGCTCTCCGCATCTTGGGCAGCTTGTGTCTTCCACGCCGCCGCGGCACCGTCTGGTCGTCCGAGAGAGATCCCATACCTTTTTCTTACATATGAAGGCCTTTCATACTCGGCCTTGGAATGGATAAAGACGGAGTTCATTTGAGGAAGACAGACAAACATGGTACACTACACGTCACGCCTGTCAAACAAAGTATAAGGCATACCGACTTCGGTTCTTTTTAGCGAGGCACGAGCATGTACAAGCCTGCCCCTTTTGTCCGTCTTTGAGACATGTCTAAGTGCCTAAATGTGGATGACAGATTAACGGAGCCGTCATTGTTTCAAGACCTTGTGCCTGAACATTCGCATCGGGTGTACGCGTACGAATGTGACCTGTTTTCGTAGGGCCAGTTGAGCATTGTGATAGGTACATAAAGCAGCTTGCACACAATGAGCGGCGGCTGCCTTGTGCGTTCATATGTTCCGCTTGAATATACTAAAGTAGTGGTTGCAACATATTTAACTGCTGAAAAACAAAAAAATAAGATACTGGCTATTTTTGTTTGTACATGAAGAAGAACATGCAAACTGATGAAATTCGACGGATCGACCGCTTCTGAATCCGCAAAGGTGGCAGCTTTCTATTCGGGTTCGTGAGCGTCGCAGTTACGAACTTTAAAGGTAGGCGGCTATCGAATTCTAGTTTGGCGCTTTCGCGCTTTTGCCAGCGTCATTAGCACCATTTACAGGATTAGCACCATTTACAGGTGATCACAGGTTTCCGCGCTGCTGCAGCCGACACCCACATGTTCGAAGACTTGAGAGTTGGAAAATCACAAGCTTGAGAGAGCTTGAATAATGTAGCTGCAATTAAACAGGACGGTCGCGTTCGAACGCGGTTGAAACACTGTTTGAGCGATGGTTTGTGAGCATTATGGTCCCAAGGCTGCACATCTCCTTAATTTATACGAAGCTGGGTTTGGCGAAGCAGTCACAGAAAATGTATTAGCAGCTGCCGCTCAGCCTCATTGCAGGTGTGGGAACTACTGTCCATTAGCGTGGAGTCAAACACCTTATCCACGTGATGCGATGTAGAAATATTGGTGGTATGAAATGGGTGGAGGGGACGATAAACTTTATTGAATAGAAATGAAAATACAGGATCCAGGTTTGACGGAGACGGTGTGAAAGTACCAGTGAGAACAGTGTATCATTTCGCCGTTTGATTTAGACAAGACTGAGAAGTAGAAAAGATTCGGCTACGCGCAATGACAAAAAACAATGTATTGAACGTTGAAGTAAACTACGAAAGTCAAAAAAAGTAGAAATCGAAAAAGCACTGCAGCAGAGACAGAGAGCAGAGTTATCTCTGCTCCCTGTTCGTGCCGCTTTGTTCTTTTTCTGATTTGACGTTTTGTAGCTTTTGTAGTTTAACAAGTGTGTATCAACTAGACAAACAAGCAACTCTCCTGAGCACGGTGAAGCAACGCACAGAAGCTACTCGGCGCGAAGGCGTGTGGAACTTAAAGGCAGCCAGCGTCTATAGTGGTGGCTTCGCGGACGGTGCACCTCGATCTAATAGTATTTTTGTAGCAATAGGTATTATGTGGACAGTCTAGGCTGATGGTTTTCCGTCGGTGCCGCCGTCGCCGCCATTCACGTATATATATGTATATATACGGTGTATATATTTACAAAGGTAAATATATACACCGTCATTCCGACAGTCATTCTGACAAAAGTAAATATATACCCCGCTAACAGAATTACCACTAGAATTCAATCGGCCAAGGAACCATGCAGGATTTCGAACAGGCAACTGAACAATCGACAACATTCCTACTATAGGATAAGGGAAATGCTCAGAATGCAGCCAACCACTACACAGACCCTTCATAGATTACGAAAAGGCATTTTATTTGGCAAAAATATCAGCAGTCATGCAGACACTGCAGAATCAAGGCATCGACATATTATATGTAAACATCCTGGAAAAATCTCCAGCGGATCAACTTCCACCATAGTGCTCCATAAAGAAAGCGACAGAATACCAATAAAGAAGGCTGTAAGACTCCGGGATACAATCTCCCCAGTGCATGCTATTTACCGCGTGCTTACAGGAAATTTTCGGAGGCCTAGAATGAGATGATTCAGGGATCTCCGCTTCGTCGATGACATTGCATTGCTAAGTAACTCAAGGTATGAATTCCCACTAGTGATTACTCAATGAGACAAGAAGACCAGAAAGGTAGGTCTTGAAATTAATCTGCAGAAAACGAGAGTAATGGACAACCTCGAAAGATAAGGGACATAGGTAATAGTACTCATGAAGTTGTAAAAGACAACGTCTACTTAGGACAGGTAATAACTGCGACGGTGAACCACGATACGTAAGTAACTAGAGGAATAAGAATGGGGTGGAGTACATTCTGCAAGCACTCTCAAACAATGTCTGCTGGATTGCCACTATCCCAGATGAGATGAAGAAGTTTGCGGGTATGAAGTGGCAGCAGCAAGCACAAGACGGAGTTGACTGGTGGGACATGGGACAGGCCTTTGTCTTGCAGTGTATGTAGTCACGCTGATGATGATGATGATGATTATATATACGGGTAAATGATATGCTAGCCTTCTCTCTCTGCAGAGCGAGCATCGCTTTTCCGACCATGGTCTTCTGCGCGCGTGCTTATCTCGTGAGCGAACAAGGGGAGGGGGGGGCGCTTAAGATTGCCGCGGTGATCAGCGCGTGGCTGGTGCCCTGACAGCAGGCGGGAGCTCATTGGGGCTGTGCTATCAGGACGAAAAAGAAAGAACGGTGCCAAAAGTGTACCTGAAGCGGCCGTGTTCTCTTACCCCAGCATTTTGCAGAGTTAGATCTGATCTAAATGAGTTGAATGCCAGCCTCACTTCGGATATCAACGCCATCACTACGCACAAGTCTTGTGGTGGTCATCTACTGTGGCAGCACTGCAGGAAACTTGGTTATTTAGCAAGCGCATGCATACTGCAATTATAATTGCTCCTGAAAAAGCTAGCACTATTTCCTTCGTAAAATATCGGAATACGTCGCTATCGCATTCATCGCTTCGTTGTTTTGGCGAAACTGTGACTTTTGCAACAGGCTGCCTGACTTTTGCAACAGGCTGGTGTTTATCTGGAGTCTTTCGGTGGTGTTGATTTTGCCTGAGCATGAAAGCCAACTTCATTAACTGAGGCATTTTTTGGTTTGTACCTGAGGGAGTACAGGTATTTTAAAAGATTGAATGAATAAACAGTTGCAACTGTCTTATTTGATCCTGGTGTGAAGAAAACCCATTTGTAAAGATTTCGTGCCAATGTCGCATGGTGGTAACCATCACCAAGAGTTTGCGCAGACTGGACGAAGCATTTTCTGCACAGTTATACGGTACAACAATTGTAAATGTAGGCTTTTATTCAATGCAAATAAAGCGAAATTGGTTGAGATTGGTTGTCGTCGTATTTACAAGCCCTTGGTGGTAGCAATCTTCTGTTGGCCACGAGAGCTAGAAAGCGGACGTGACACAACTGCTTCCGCCGGTAATTGATACCCAGGCTCGTTTTCAGATCCCCCAGCACCGATACCTGACGGTCCTCCAGTCATTCCAACACCTGGACCTCTGAGTGGCCCTGCTCCTGGTCCTCCCGTACCTGGACCACCGAAACCTGCTTCTGATGGGAACCTACCGCTTTCAGGGCTACCAATCACAATAGTTTGTGGTACATTCGCGAAGAGCTGAGCCGGAAGGCGTGGCCTAGGCCTAAGTCTTGCCTGACGATTCAAATACACCAGGACGCGCTTGATCTGGGTGTCGATGGCCTTCCGCACCAGTGGCTCGAGACGCGTTCTGACTGAACGATCAAGGAAGGCTTCCGCTGCCTTCAGGAAGGCGCGGAAGATTGGCCTTGGCTGGTCGGGCTTGAGGAACAGTTTGAAACCTCTGAGAAAGACGATCTTGAACTTTGTTACCTGGATGTCAGTAGGGCCAGATCTGTAAATAGAAGAATAGAAGAAAACCTAAAATTGAAATGTTGGCTGACTTGGTGTTGGTTCATGTTAACTAAGGTAAAGGGGGTCACAATATACAACACACGCACATACACAGACTATATATATATATATATATATATATATATATATATATATATATATAAAGAACACAAGCGAGTACACGTACGAAAGAGCAATACTTTTATGCCAACGTTTCAGCCGTGGCACGGCCTTCGTCAGGGAATAAAGAGTAGACAAGCAGATGCCCCTTTTAAGGGCCGTTGAAATCACACAATTGATCAGAATAGTGATTAGAAAGTGCGAAAGCAATACCAAAACAACATTGTCAGTATAATTTGATACGAGTATTGAGCAACAATATCGCTGTGGATAACTCAAGATATGAGCGCATAGCTTCAGCGTAGGGCAAATTTTTATGCGTAGGGCAAATTTTTAAAGCAATAAAGCACTTCATAAGCCAAGCGAATATCATGAGCACATGTCACGCACACTGTAAGATACCCGAGGGACAGTAAACAAAATTCAACTGGTAACTGAAGCGTCAAGTTTGATGCCAAACTACTGCATGCGCACATATAATAAATGGAAGCACACACAAAAAATATATATAATCAAACAAATGAGAGAAGAAACGATGGCATGGGTTGGGGGGCATTTAACGCATTCCTGTGATGGACAATGCTACATAGAAAGGAAAGTAACGCGTCCAACGCTTTCGTTGATGCCTGAGTGCAAAGTGTTGAACTTGTTAATGAGATAGGACTCGCGAACTTCTCGGTCATGATGAGTTTTAAACCCGGATTGTAATATTGTGGCTTTGATGTTTTCGAAAGAGTGCCCTGGAATCTGGACATGTTTTGACAGTGGAAGATGAGGAAGGTTAGAAGCATGGGCTCTGTGGTTGTTAAAACGTAACCTGAATGATGTTTCGGTATGCCCAATGTATTGCATACGGCAAGTGGAGCACTCAAGCATGTAGATAACATTAGCGCTGTCGCAAGTGAAGTCTCCGTTGATTTTTAAGGAAAAGTTTGATGCGGTGCTAGTTGCGGTATGAGTACTTGACATGTGCGGGCAAACCTTGCAGCGGGGCTTATTGCAAGGATGGCAACCACTGTAGTTGGACCGATTAATTATTTTCGATGATGTTAATGTATCATGCAGGTTGCGTGATCTGCGGTAAACTACCCTCGATGGTTCCGTAAAAATGTCTTTTAAGTGATCACTTTGTTGCAAGATATTGTGGTGTTTTCTTAGAATATTGGCCACATTAGGAACCGAAGCTGAGTGCGTAAGGATGAGGTTAACACTGTTACGTGAAGTGTTTGCAGATCGTTTGTTGCTTGTGAGCAACTCTTTACGGTCAATGTTGTTAGCCTTCTTGAGGGCGTCGTCTATGATTCCCGATGGGTATCCTTGCCTCGTAAGAGCACCTCGTAGGTCTTCGCAGTTGCGAGCGAAATCATTGTTATCAGAGCAGATGCGTTTAAAGCGAATGGCCTGACTATATGGAATACTGGTTTTGCAGTGTTTTGTGTGACTACTATGGAAGTGAAGATACTGATGTCTATCGGTTGGTTTCCTATATAGTTTGGTCGTCAATTTTCGATTGCACAGTGTCACTGTGACGTCAAGAAAGTTGACACTGGTGTCCGAGTATGAGTGCGAGAATGATATATTTGGATGGGCATTATTATAATCGCTGATGAAAGAAAGAAGCTGGGATTCACCATGATGCCATACTAAAAAAATGTCATCGATAAAACGCTTGTAATAAAAAGGCTTCAAATCGCGGCTGGCAAGAAAATCGCGTTCTAGAGAGCCCATAAAAATATTTGCGTAATTCGGGCCTATTCGTGTGCCCATGGAAGTGCCGCTAACTTGAATGAAGTGTTGTCCGTTGAACTCGAAATTGTTTAGTTCGAGAATTAATTTGAGAAGCGTAGCTAGTGTAGAGGAGTCTATCGATTTGTCGAGGTCAGACTCGTTATACGCTTTTACAACAGCGCGGATACCATCAGAATGGGGAATGTTGGTGTACAAAGAACAAACATCGAGGATCACCAAAAATGACCCATCAGGAATGTCTAAATCAATGATATCATTTAAAAAGTGATTGGTGTCTTTAATGTACGAGGGAAGTGAAACCGGAATAGAAGAAATGAGGGTATCAACGTAGCGTGACAAATTTTCTGTCACCGTACCTATACCAGACACAATCGGTCTACCGGGAATGTTTTCTTTGTGAATTTTGGGTAGGGTGTAGAACCTACCAGCCACCGGGCTTAGTGGAATCAGCGTACGTAATGCAGACTGAGCGATTTTGTTTTCTTTTACAAGATCTGTAACAACATCACTGACAATGCGTTTAAATTCCGCTGTCGGGTCGTCATTTAGGCGCCTGTAGTATGTGGTGTCATCAAGTTGTCTCTGGGCTATATATATATATATATATATATATATATATATATATATATATATATATATATATATATGCAGAAGGAAAGAAGATGTCACGTTTCCTCAGCGATGATTAGTAAGTGCATAGTCAAGCCCGAGCGATCCGAGCGATTAGATAGGAGCAAATGTGGCATAAACACTTAAAACAGTTTGTTAGTTGCGACTGCGGTGATGAGTATGTTGCTTGCATGCGCTGTTGTGTATATAATGCCGTTGTCGTGGAAGAAGACGTATATTGGGCAAAGTGCAGATTCTTCATTGTGCGTCTTCGGGAACACAATAGTTTTGTGACTGGCAGGCCGCTCAACCATATGGCGTTGCGCTGCAAGGACTGCAAAGAAGGTAGTCCCAAGTCACTTTTTAAGCAAACCGCGGGGATGAATAGACATGACGGGTTCATGAACAGGGAGATTATAAAAGTTCTCCTTATCGGTTGTGAGAGACTAGGTTGTATTGGTCACCTGTGTATTGATCTATACTAGAGGAAGAGACAAGTGAGGTTATCAGGCTCAGCGTTCGTATGTTTAGTCTTTTTGACGTCGACTCTTGGTTTCATCAGGTACTATGCGTTACAAATATGTTTTTTTTTGCTGAATAAATAATGCAGTTGATAGTAGCGCACTGTGCCGTGTCCTCGAATTTTATCGCATGTTGGGTATTTCGGGCCCCCCTCACCTCTCATAAGAAAATGGTGTATCTGGAAATTTATAGCGTGCGGGAAGTATACACGCAGCAAATTTAACATTCGAGCTCGTCGATGAACAATGAAATACAGTAGTACTATTTTTGTTAAACACGCTGAAATAGCTCGGTTCGGTTTTGGTGGTCTCAACACTTTACGACAAATAAATGGTAAGTACTCCGTACATGCATCGTACGCAAGTTTGGTTTAAAATGTTTGTGATATCAAACGAACAGATCGGTTTCTTAGAGAACGCCATGAAATGCTTCATATCATGAGAACAGAGTAAAAGCGTGGTACTTCATCTTCGACATATATGAATGACGCTTTTGCCTCACGAAAATATACCTGCATTACCAAGTGTTACAAAATGCGGTGTAACTTATGCTTTAGAGAAAGTGCTTTTAAGCCCTGCTGGTGCACCACAGTCAAAGAATTAGGTCTGCCACGGCGGCCTGCAAAATGAACGATGCCCTAGAGGGACGGTGTTTGTTTGGGCAAAGCTTCGACTTACATAAACTTAACTAAAAGTATTATAAAAGACTTCATTCATTAACTTTCCAACGTTTCCTTATCAACTGTGTTGTGATATGTGCGTATAAGACTGTTATTGCATATGTGTTCTCAAGTGCTATATTTTCCGTGCAATGCTTTGTATGTTTTCTTTTAAGGTATGTGTTCAACTTTTACTCAAGGGCTAAGCAGTTGCCGGCGCCATACTTGTGCGCCAACCAACATATCTTTATATATGATATGAAAAGAAAAATCAATACGTCAAGGCCTTTCCGCTGTGAATGTTCTGCTAAGAAATGTAAACAATAGACCACTGCTATTTATTTTGTCGCTGGTGTTCTAATTAGTAAAGGACATATTTTGTACGCCTTCTTTATTCGTTAGATTAACAATATTATACATGGTGCAGCAATTTTGCCATCTCACGGGGTCAACTTGGGTTCTAGCCACATGATTTCCTACTCTGCTGTTCATATTCTTAGTTCGAAATCCCTCATGATCTTCGCCAGAAAAATGATTGTCTGACCGCTTGCTCGTTAATTATCGTCTTTTTATGTTTGAATTTTAGTGTAAATTTTCAATATTTTAAGCTTTATTTTTCATGAGGCTAACCATCCTGCAGCGCGGTTCTGGGCTTGTGTCGATATAATAGCGCTTCCGAAAAGAGCGCAATGATATTGATCGTTATATGAGCTTCGTACTCCGGCGATAAGTTCTGTTGTTTCTGAGCAGACACAGCAGGAAATTTTCATATTTGTAAAGCGCAATACTGCGTAAAAAAGAGGAACACTTAAAATTCCCGGTAGGTAGTGTTTGCAGACATTTTACAGTCGCGTCGAATATCAACACTACTATGAAATAAATGCATGAACAGTTATAAAAACAAGTGAAGGTAATAAGTAAAAAAAATTCTTGTTTGAAAACTTCATTTGCTGCGGCAGTAAATCATTTTACATTAAAGAACATGTAAATAATTAGCCAATAGGGCTGTAGTAGCTGGACGTTGCGGTAATAAATACGCTTCAGCTAATCGCCTACATTTCCTTTCATGTAACACATATCTAGTGCATATTGAAAATACTAGGCAATTGTCACCAGAAAAGAAAAACGAAATACTTCTCATTCTGAAAGACAGGGTGCGCACAAACACACAGACAAGAAAGCAAGCAAGACTCCACAAACGCCAATTTTCTTTTGTTTTGACCTATTTTTCACACGCTGTCGTTTAGAATGAATACTTACCAAGTAGCTCAGCTTTAGTTTACTGTAGGAAAGATATCTGTTTCAGCAATATACCACTTGCACTATATGGGCTTCGGTTAAACGACTCCTGCAGGCAAGTTCACTTACTGCGCTATTTCGAGGATGGCCCGGGCTTCCCGGACAATGACAGTGAAGTGCACGCGATGCTGTTTCATCTTCCCGTTAGCCATGATCACGGTAGCCGACGAGTTGGCGTACACGTTGCTGATTCCCAGGTCGAGGTGAAGACGCATTCCGGCGCGGTCAGCCTTCACAAAGCAAGGTCCAGTGCGCACCACGTGAGATAGGCCAAACACGTGCGAGTTGTAGGTGCGCACGGTGCCCGACATGAGCATGATATTCTGGAATGGTAAGCTTATATCGGGAAGCTTTAGCGGGTCTGCCCCATAGGCTACAGAAATCTGGCGGAGCAGCAGTGTGAAGAGGTCCAGTTGTCCTGGTGTGGAACGATATCCCACGACACCAGCGCCGCCTTCCCCTTGAGGCTCCCTTAAATCTGATTCTCCCCCGACTCCTGAACCTGCCGGAAATCCCGGTCCTCCAGGTACTATTCCGATGGCTGCTTGTCCAGAATCGCTGCTGATCCCCTTTATGCCTGCTCCAGTCAGCTCAGCAGGAGAAACGACTTGGTTTTGACCTGTACCAAACGAAAATAGCAAAGCGAGCAACAATTTGGCGACATCATATTACGTGTAGTGTAAAAATTTCAGTGCCTTCTTTTCTCGAAGCGCAGAAAATGACTTCGATTAGCGAAAAGCATGTACACCTTAAGGCACCGTCTTGCATCAGTCTTTGCCGCGGAAAAGGTATATGAACACTGGAATAGAACTTAAGTATGGCTAATTTTTTTATAGTAAAGCGAGCGGGACAATTGCTGAGAATGATGCGTTTCTGCAAAAAAGTGAAGATATTGCTGAGGGTATATTGAAATGACTGGAAGTACTATTTAAAAATTTTCTCCGTGTACGTATCGTGCTAAGTATTTGGCAAGATACAATTCACAGAGTTTACTTCGAGCTGGCCTCTCACACACAGGGTAATATATATATATATATATATATATATATATATATATATATATATATATATATATATATATATATATATATATATATATATATATATATATATGTATATATATATATATATATATATATAACGCTACCAGCAGACGTGGCCTGGCTCATACGCCATGTTTATTCCACTGCCACTTCCTCTTCATACTCGGCTTCTCCTACCATGCTGCTTCTATACGTCACATGGTTCCCCCTCCCTTCGAAAGATGGCACCGGTTACAAATTACTACTAATATTGAAGAAGAGAATAAACAAGAATATGCCCAATTTCACTGTTTCACGTCCCTAATTCTTCGAGGCCGAGGGAGCAGTGCGGTATTTCTATAACAGCTCTGGTGGGCGAGGTTGACTGTTACGTTCCGAACAGAGTGGGCCATGGAGTGGGCTACACATGGATACTCACAATACTGCTTGAGCTTTTGGGGGGGGGGGGGGGGGACTGAAAAAGGTTGAAACGCCTTGTTGCACCGGCAGCTCGGATGTCGTCGGGATTGTATTTTTCACCGTAAATGGTGCACTCCCGGTGCTTCTTGTTTGCGTGCTTCTTCACAGACTCTGATGGAGTGTCTGAATGCTTGCGGTGTGCAAGCAATGCTTCCGCGTCTTTCTCGGCATTTTCTGTGGTGCCGCAGTCGGTGTAAAAGCAGGCGCAGGGAGCGTCTCTGACGACTTTCCTTTGTGCGAGAAAGTCTGACGTCTTGGAATAGTCTTTGGGTTGGAGATCTTATTTTTCTCTGTACTTCAATTGGTGAGTCTGCTTCCGTTGAACTTTGCGTTCGTGGATGCCTTCATTTCAGTCTCTCTTGTTGTCGCATGAGTTTGTGGGCTTGCTTGCTTTTCTATTATTGCTCAGGAGATGGCTGTAGTGGCGCCCTTTCCAGAATTGGGCATTTATTTATTTCGCAAGTTGACGTGTCCTGTAGATAGCTGGTGCACTGTGAGCTGATGTTTTGCTTACCGGGCATAGCTGGTGGTGCGCCATCATTGCTAGCATGCTCTTCAAAGGCTTCGATGATGTGGATCATTACGAATGCTTCTTAATGACAACAGCGTACGAGGTGTTTGATGTATGATGTACTTCTGAGTTGGTTATATTCTTGAATTGGTTAGCACTGCATGGGGGTGCCACAGGTGACGTGGCATTACAAGGTTCAAACTGCAGATTTCGGCAAGTATGCGGTGCAGTGTAAATGAAGTCTTGCAACGAAAAACACCATTTCGAGTCATCATGGCGTGGTTCGGTATTTTGCCGATATGTCAGTTCGTTTATCGTAAACCCGGCATTCTTATGAGATGAACGGTGAGCGTTAGATGCACCTGAGGAGCCGCATGATAGACAACAAGGTGGAGGTTCACGTATGCGAGACGAAGAATGAAGGGAATCAGCTGAATGAGCAACACATCTTGTTTTGTGCTGTTTCCCCGCAGGGGCGCCTGCGCACGTAAGCGTTTGGTGTGTAGCGACACCACGGACCCGAGCTAACGGGGGAGTTTCTACTCCCTCCCACGTCTAGCCGTGCGTGGCTTTGCCGTGTCCGGGGAAAAAGGGATCCTGGGGGTTGAGCCGACGCTGGGTGATTGGACCGTTAAGGCCCCCCGGCAGAGGCAACACACCTCTTTGGCCCCGGCTTCACGTAGACGGCACCCCTGGGCTGACCCACCCAGGGGAAATCGGCAGTCGCCTTTTCCTATCTCTCTCTCCCCCACACCTTCGTCTTTTCTCCTGTTTAAATCTATCCTGTCTTCTAATTTCTTCTGTTACTTTCCCATTTTTATGGGCGGCTTGGGTTAACCTTGTGCGACTAGCCAACCTTGGCCTACGCGCATTAGGTTATCGTAGCGGTGTATGGCTGGCGTTTGCATGTTTCGCGTTCCATGAACCTTGTAGCGTCCCCTCGTTGGGCTCCGTGGTGGGTGGCCGCCATCGTTACTGAATTACATTCCTCTATCATGCAGAAAAGCTTTCCACTCCTCAATGATCGTGCCGCTTCAAAGCGTGTATGCACTGAAGAATTTTCCTTTTTCAGCCGACCCAGAGCTTCCCCCCTCCTCGTTATCATGTTTTCCTTTTTCAGCCGACCCAAAGCTTCCCCCTCCTCGCTATCATGTTTTACACAGTGAGAAGCCCAATAAAACAGCCAGAACAGAGTCCCCGTTCATAGTATCGCGGTCCCTGACAGCCACATTAGGTGATGGCTACAAAGTTACAAAAATGGCTTGTGGTGACCTTCTTTTAGAATTCCGTGACAAAACACAATTTGACAAACTAAAGAACCTTGCAACATTCGGTGACATTCCCATCAGCGTAACACCTCATCGATCCATGAACTCTGCACGGCGAGTTGTTTCTGACACAGACCTCCTTGACCTGATGGAGGCTGAACTCCTCGAGGGCTGGAAAGAACAGAATGTGACCAATGTGAAGCGAATCGTCATCCGAAGGAACAATCAGGAAATCCCCACGAAACACTTGGTACTGACCTTTGCCACCAGTGAACTACCACAAACAATAAAAACTGGCTATACAAAGACACCGATCAGACCCTACATACCAAACCCCCGCCGAAGTTACCAGTGTCAAACGTTCGGCCATGGCTCTCAGAGCTGTCGTGGTCGACCTGCTTGTGCCAAATGCGGTGCCCAAGGCTACATCTCTGAGAAATGTAATGAAACCCTACATTGTGTAAACTGTGACGGAGACCACGCGTCATATTCACGTTCTTGTCCACAGTGGAAAAAAGGAAAAAGACATTATTACACTGAAGATTCGCGAAAATATCTTTTTCAAGGAAGCACGCCGAAGGTGTTCGGCTTTTCACGGCACAACTTACGCTGATGCGGCGCGTCAGGGGGCAGCGTCGCATCACCCTCCGCCACTACCTAGGCCCACGCAAAGTGAGCCATCGGGTGTAGTGGCCGCCCCCATGGTGGAAGCAGCCAAGCCTGCTCCACCTACCAAGCCGAGACTCAGGCGACTCCAGGGTCGTCGGGTCGACCGACCACGTCTCACCAGGCGAGGTTGCAAATACCCAACAGCAGCTCGCGTACGCGGGCGTCCAGTGCTTCACGTGAGGCAATAGACACAAACACGGTACCTCATGTGCCGGAAATGCGGCGTGGCTCCCTAGAGCGCGCTAAAAGAACCAAGAAACCAATAACAGGGCCCGACGACGGCCCTGCAACTTAAGTTACAACTTCCCACTTGAACAGCCACTTCATTTCCGTACAGACAGCACCACTTTCCATCAAATATGGAAACACAGATTGTACAATGGAATGTCAGAGGCCTTCTCACAAGCCTCGACGATGTCCAAGAACTTCTACACATTCACTCACCAAAAGTGCTGTGTGTACAGGAAACACACTTAAAATCTGAACACACCAACTTTCTACGCAGTTACATTATTTTCCGAAAGGACCGTGATGAAGCCGTGGCATCATCTGGAGGTGTAGCTGTTATAGTGAAGCAAGGTTTAGCATGTAAACACTTGAAACTCGAAACGTCTCTTGAGGCAGTGGCTGTTCGAGTGGTGCTTCTAAGCAAACTCCTCACCATTTGCTCTATATACATACCTCCACATTTTCAACTACACAAACATGAATTTCAGTCCTTGATAGATGAACTTCCCGAACCCTATCTTGTTCTAGGGGACTTTAATGCACATAACAGGCTATGGGGCGACTCTCGTTGTGACGCCCGAGGTCGACTGATTGAACAGTTTCTTCTTTCTTCAAGCGCGTGTCTCCTGAATCGAAAATAACCAACCAATTATAACCTCGCTAACAATACCTATTCCTCGATAGACCTAAGCATAGTATCTCCATCACTTGTGCCTCTACTTCACTGGAAAGTCATCACTAATCCCTACGGAAGTGACCATTTTCCTGTAGTTTTGAGCACACCTACATCAACTGAATGCCCGCCCCAGGTTCCAAAATGGCTATTAAGCAAAGCCAACTGGGAACAGTTCTATAACATCACTCATTTAAACTGGCGCGACATGTGCACTTTAAGCATTGATGCGGCTGTCGACTACTTTGCAGCGTCTCTGATTGATGCAGCAACAAAAAGCATACCACAAACGAAAGGACATCATGGAAAACGACCTGTGCCAGGGTGGAACTCAGAGTGCCAAAATGCACGCAGGCAGCGAAACAAAGCATTGAGGGTGCTTCGGAACTCACCGACAGCCGAAAATCTTGCCACTTTTAAGAAAATGAAGTCTCTGGCCAGGAGAACGCGTCGGCAGGCCAGAGGAGAAAGCTGGCACATGTTTTTATCGGGGATTAATTCATATACCCAAGAAGCTAAAGTCTGGAACATGGTTGATAGAGTAGCAGGAAGACAAGTGCATTCACTCCCACTCGTAAACACACAGGGTGACAGCCTGGAAGATCAGGCAAACTTCCTCGGTGCACACTTCGAGCAGGTCTCTAGCTCGTCACACTATACTGAAGCTTTTCAAAGATATAAAGCAAAAATCGAAAAGCAGAAACTGGAATACAAGTGTACAAAATACGAGGCATACAACCAACTGTTCAACTTAGCTGAGCTACAAAC